GAATCAGTCTGACCTCGCAGTGTTAGAATTCGTTCGCTCGTTTTTTTTTTTTTTCATTTAACCAATCGCTGCTATTTGGTCGTCACATATGTAATGCACCGCTAATGGGGTTAACTGGTAAAATTAAGCTTTTCCCAAATTCTGTAGGAAGACGGGCAATAACGTCTTTCCCCTTGATGAAATTCACCAAACATTCTCTTTATTCTGGCTTTAAATCCTTGATCTCAGGAATCATTGAAAACACAGAATGTATGGTTCTTCGCTGATTGGCTGGTGCCCAAACTCACACTTCCAGGGTTTTTGCGAACCGTCTAGTGTATTCTGATTCCTGACCTAGTTGCTGGAAAGAAATGCAACTGAGCCGAGGCACTAGGTGGTGCCAGCCTGGCTATTTAAATATTGGTCTGAAACTGCAAATATTTTTTCTTTAACTCAACATTTTTCACTGATTTTTGAACCAGAGGGCCAAAGACTGGTGGTCAAAACAGCAGATCATTCAGCTGGATGCACTTTACATAGTTTTGACACAGCCACCATACATTTAATCTATAAGTTTTGACACATTCATTTCAGGTCTTTATCACAATGCAGCGTGGTTTTATTGAGGTTATAGGGATTAGAGACATGCACGGATGACATGGATTACATGATGAAAAATTATATTTTAATTAAATTCAGGCAGGTGGCTGTTTAACTACAGTTTAGAATTTTCATCAAAAACCATGGGTGCAAATGGATAGTGGATGGATGATGAGTTTTGTGATGTGGTTGCGTTTGAAAAAATAGCCCATCTGCACATCTCTATAGGGATAGAATTACTCCAATTTGCTCTTAAAATTAATGCCTATGATCAGCTGGGTCATTTCAGCAGAAGACTTGAGGGCCGATAAAAATTGGTTTTAGGGCTGCTTTTGATCCCAGGCCATAGTTTGGACACCCCTCCTCTAGATTCTTATGTACAGACCTCTCTAAGTTTCATACTTTGACAATTTGGGCTACACTCTGCCAACCTTCCTCAGAGTGGTAATATGATGTTGCTGTGTCATTTCTCATCATCTGATTTAAACCTCTTGGAGCAATAGGACGACAGCGCCATCTGCAGTCTGACTTCTTCAGAATGCTTCCCAGGTGCGACGGAGTAGGTACGCCTCCTCATCCCAAATTAGAGTCCGGTGGTCCAAATTTTGTGTAAATCATCTGACCAGAGTGTAGCTGAAATGTATGATATGAAACTTATAGAGGTCTGTACATAAGAATCTAATGTATAAAGAATACAAGACCTAATCAACCTAATCTGACTATTAAGTATGAATGGTGTGTGAATTTTAGTGAACATTTCTGTTCTGCACATTTAGTGGTGCCAAGCTTCTGCTGCCATAGCTGCCCTGGAGCAGACTGACAGAGACCTGGCTGTCATAATATACCAATGGCTTCTCCAACAAACACATATTGCTCAAAAACAGACAGTCAGCCTTCCGGTCAACCACTTGAGCCATTGTTGACCCTGTATTGAATTACTTTTAACTTTCAGCTTTTTTTTTTTTTAACTCTGGCTCATAATTCCACCCTGATGTTAATACAGTTTATCTCCCTGGAGATCTGCGAAAAACTCCTACGCCTATGATCACAGTCCAAACGAGCTGCTAATATGGGCAGTGTGTGGAGGACTAAAGGAGACTGAGAGGAGAAGTATGGCAGGTCTGGATCAATGAGGAACAGTTGGTCTGACAGACACAAACACTTCAGACTCAAAGCCTGCAGCCAGTTTTTTGCAAGTTTATTTATTCATTCATTTATTCCTTACAGCTTTAATTTAATTGGTTTTATAATGAGAATAATACAATACAGTTGACTATGACATTGAGAAAGTTGTTTACTCCAGGCAGCAATGATATCCGTGTGCACACTGAGACTAAGCAGATAACCGCACTAAGCTCCACTTCATTCTTAAGGCTTTGGTCATGTTTTGGACTCTCTGAAAGCCAAAACACTCGAGGGTTTTGTGGCGAGGTTTGATGTCTGAAATATCACCTCCAAGTTTGGGTGCTCATTATATCGAACAGTGAGTGTGATACTGGCAACTGAAATAATGGTTGAGAAACGTGAACATACTGTTTGGTGAAACTATCTGAATTTTTTATATTATTTTTTTTTACATTAACTGAGAGGAAAGTGCTTTTATTTCACAGTAAGGAGGCCCTGTACTTGACCCTAGCATGAAATGAAAGGATGGATCAAATGCACAGGACCTAAGGAGATACAGGACTTCACCAGTTATTCTTTCCATAAACAAAATCTAGATTAAACTAGGACTGCATTGCAATACATACATATACATTGCAATTGCATCAACATGACAATTTGAGGTTGCAATTACTTAAATAATAGAATGTATTCTGCAAACAGAACAAAGTATCCTGTCTTTTTATTGAAAGATATTGTATTTGCAGGTTTGACCTCGACTAACTTGTTCAGTTCTCTCTCAAATGTTAACACTCCTGGAGTTGTTTACAATGTGCACCCTGAATCCTACTTAATAAACCATAAACATAAACATGACCATGGATTTCAGAATGATGAAAAATGAAGACTTTATATCTCTTGGGAAAAAATGCTCAAAATGTTCACAATCGAATCACATTTGCAATACGTCGTATTATTGTGCAGCTCTATAACAATGTCACACTGGCTTAACTTAGCTCCTTTCCTCAACCTCCTTTATACACTTTCTTTTATAGTTATAATCATAGATCCATGCTTATATCCTTGGTAGAGATAAAGGTGGAGTTACAAGTTACCTATCAAATCTGTGGCAATAGTGCTCAGTCAGAATGCCTGTTTTTCATAACTTAAAAATGAGCTAAAACCACTTGAGTAAATGTAAGCTAAATCAGTTTATTATCATATTGTGGAACATTCTGAGCAGAACAATGACATATCCATAGAAAGCAGGTGACAGACCCCCAACTGAAAAGTTATATACCGTATTTTTGTCAGACTATAAGTCACACTTTTTTCCATGGGTGGTCATGCGACTTATACTTCAATATATATATTATAACATATATATCGCTTGTGTGTCAGTATCAGCTACTCCTATTACTCCTGTCACTTGGCTCTACTGCGCATGTCTCCTGCAGAAAGAGCCACTGTCCTGTCTGGTATCATGTCAGTCAATCGCACCATTACTTCTGTAGCATTGAACATTTAAAAGTTAAACAAACTGATTAAGACAACTAAGAAGACTGAACATAAATGCCCCCAACAAGAAAATCATAGTTTGCAGATTACAAGCTGCAAGTAGTGAAACATGCAGCCGGAAACGGTAATCGAGCAGCAGAAAAGTTTGGAGTGAGCGAAAAACTTGTGACAAAGGGGAGGGTGCACCATGAAACTTTCCTGGAAGTAATTGGATGGATTGACAAAACCTGGACTCCATCTTAAATTTGAAGTTTACGTGACTTCAGTGACAACCGAAACCATCCTGTCGGGATTCAGAAAGGCCAGAATAATTCTAAGTGGAACTGATGCTGAGTCTGACGACAGCTACGCAGAAGAGGAAGCGGCACTCTGTCTACCTCCGAAGATCGCCAAGTTGCTCAGAAGTGACATCAAGGATGAAGAATTCAATGGATTTAGTGATTTGGAGTGAGATGGAGAGTTTGGTAAACATGTTCTGTTCTGTTGTTTAGGCTCTAGTTATCTGAATAACTGTTCATATGTGACGTTAACAGTCTGTTGTTCTCTTTTCTGTTGTTATTACTATAATTTGCCTTTCAAGATGAAATGCCGGTTCCTGGTCTGTGATTGTATAAAATCATTTTGGAGCGACTTATAGTCCAAAAAATACGGTAGTGCACCTTTAAACGACTGCAATCTCTTTTTACCATTAAATGTGTTGGTGCTAAAAAAGAGGAAATTGTAAACATGTTTTCAGTCAGCTGATGGACGTGGAAGTGACATTACACTTAACAACTCTAGTCTGTTTTAGAACTCACAGCTACTTTCTGTATTTTTTAACCTTTCTTTCAACTTTTTTTTCCCCCACAAACTGCCACTTAACTGATGTAAAACTATGATAAATATTTACTAGGAACTACCCTCCAAACCCAGGAATAATTCGAAAAACATGAGGACCTGTCATATGCCCATTAAGCCTGCTCTTTTATCCGAGGCCAGGTCACATAGTCTGAGGTCAGCTTTCATCACCTCCTCGTCACAAAGCGGCCGCATCTGAAACACACACAGACATACAGGCTAATTAGTTTCACTGGTTTGTGGAGTGCTGGTATTCTCTGAGAAGATAGGCCAGAATATAAGAAATGTAAGAACTAGAAAGCGTCATAGTCTTGGTACATTTAACACACTGAGATGGAGGGCAGGTAATATATGTGTAATTAGTGGGTCTATCCACATGAAACAAAAACTGCCATTCAAAGTGTTTGTCAATATAAATGCCCAAATCCATCATCAAATTATATAAAGTGAACATAACCTTTTAAGTTAAAGTGTGAGTGAATAAGGATGTGCAAGTCCAGCATGGTTCAGTGGTTCTATTTTGCTAACTGGGTAGTCGGTGTAGATATCTGGATGATTTTTTCACAAATTTATACTGAGCAGAGATGGTGCAGAGCTCAAAATTTGTGTTTCTGTTTGTTTACATGGCAGCTAGAACCAACATGGGGCTGGTCACGTTGTCTGGCAAAATAAATTAAAATACATAAAAGTTAAAAATAAAGATTGGGAAAGTGAACATGAATTATCAAATTTCACAAAGTTCTGCAATGGATTTATATTAGAAAGACTGGTGATATGAAAAAAATGAAATAAAATAATGAAATAACATCACTGCTTTTCCCCCTAGCAGCCTAGACTTCATCTGCCTAAACTATTTGTCACACCTCATCTCTCTGAGTTGAAGGGTCTGGTGGTGGATATATATTTGATGTAATCTTTAATGTTCTGACAGTGATAATAATGTTGTTTTTGTGTGTCCACAGCTGTTTGAGATCACCGTTCCCATCACTCAGAACACCAAACCTGTGACCATCAGTGTGGCCAATCACACCCAGTGCAGCTGCCTCTCCAAACTGGACGTGTTCAAACAAGTGCACAGCATCATCCGCCGAGCTCTACCCGAGTGAGGACTTCTTTATTTATACTTCTATCTTAATGTATTTATCTTGACTGAGACAGGACTTGTCTAAAATTTAAAACTCACTTAGAATGAGATTATGATACTGCCCCTAAATCAGTACTTTCTGGACCATAGTAAAAGCTCCCAAACATGGTGGAAAATAAAAGGAACAGAAGCCTTTATTGTCCCTGTAGGACATTTGTCCTCTGCATTTGACTCTTGCTACAATGCCACTGGAGTAATCTGTCAGGAGCAGGGGACCAAGATCCAAATCTTAAGTTTGTCTTGGTCAGGACTACCTCAGCTGGAGGATTTTATCTACTGTGCATGTTTTGTGTTGATGGAGAGAGGTGTCTGGAGGAAACTCTCAGACACAGGGAGAAACATGCAAACTTTGCACACAAAAGGCCCACTGAGGTCCAGGGAACACGGAATCTTCTTGCTGTGAGGCAAAATTAGTCACTCAGTCAGCATGCAGCCAAACAAACCAAAACATGCAAATAGGTAACATCCTCCAGCTAAGGAGGTCCCGTCTAACTAAAGATCTGTAGGTGGGTCCTCAAGCACTGCACAGTGGAGCCCACTGCTCCTAACAGGAGGAGAAGCACTTTGTGCATTTGTGGATGGGGACTGCACTTTTCTCTTAAGTGGATTTAGCAAACGTTTGATTTCTGTGCTTGCTCTGCTTGTTGTGGCATTTTGCCCAGTCAGTGTGAAGTATTTGTCTGAGCGTTTTCCTCAAACACTCCAAACTAGAGTAATCCTAGATTGATAATGTGCTGAACTCAACGCAAAGTGCTACATATGAGTTCTGCCAAGAAAAAAGAAATACTCTATTAACAGATACAATTGCTTTAAAATAATATTGCCAACAGTTACACTTGACGTTTATATCACTCAACAACTATGTAGTCTAATCAAGATTCATAGTCAGATTTCAAGTCATTTTATGTTAGTTACAGATAGATATTTGAAGATGGATCTTCTGAAATGTAAATTCAATCTCTATTACAACTCACATTCTTCTAAGACTCTGCATATCAAATTATCCATACCTTCTTCTCCTCTCTCTGTCCCACTTCTTCTCTCATTCTCTCCCTTCTGTCTCCCACCCCTCTCTCCGTCTGTGTGCATGTTGTGGTCATGTCCTCATTATGCTTCCCAGGATTATATTTCCTCCCTGTGCTCAATAGTGACTGAAGTTTGAGCTCAGGTTAGCTTTGGGATGATAGGGTCAGGCCTGTTGTGTTTGGGACAAGTCTCCAGGAAATGAACTAAAAGTCGGTCCAGAAGCCTGCGTGATACCTCCAACCCAACATTTGTTATTCATTTGTACATTTTATTTTTGTACATTTATTTCCATAGGCCTCTCTTGTTTTCAATTCATAATCCACGTCTACTCCCTCTTTGCTTTCACAGACAGCCAAAACAAATAGGATTAATTATGGACAGTGCAGAAGAATTTATGAGACTTACTTTGAGAAATGGCTTTATTGGTCATTTGTAGAGCCCACAAAATGTACAGTACATCCATGTATTTTATTATGTTAAGGCTGGGAAATAAATCTGTTAGCGTTTTTTAATCCAACTATTCTACATGGATTACCTAGAAAAAAACAAATGCAATTATTATAAAAGGTTTTGCAAATTATTAAAGGCACACTATGTAACTTTTTTGTTAAGAGGTAAGCCATCTGCTTGTTGACAATTTCTATACTTTGCCGGGAATGTTCCACAGTATGACATTAAACCTAATTTATTTATTGCTCAAAAACAGCATGGAAAATATGCATTCTTACATTCTTACTGTGATTGTGGACAGTCTCTTAAACTGTTACTTGCATCTCTCCATGGAGATACACAAATATTACTGTGGAACATTCCAGAGTATAGCATCTCAGTGGGGGCAAGCAGGTAATATAGTGCATCTTTAAAGATCCTATATTATGCAAAATTGACTCATGACATTTAACCCATGTTAAAATGTTGTCACCATATCAAAAACATACCTGGAGTTGTGTTTTGTTTCATTCACACACGTCTGAGTAACTCTTTATTATTAGTCTGTCTACATCTATAAGCTCAAAATGCTCTGTTCCAACTTGCGATGTCATGTAGTGGTAGTTTTCAAGTTACCTGGGTCGTAAGGGCAGTGGTCTAAGCAGGGACTCCCAGACTTCCTTCACCCCAGACACGTCCTCCAGCTCCTCCGGAGGAACCCCGAGGCGTTCCCAGGCCAGCCGAGAGACATAGTCCCTCCAGCGTGTCCTGGGTTTTCCCCGGGGCCTCCTCCCGGTGGGACATGCCTGGAAGGCTTCCAGATCGAAGCACGCAGGAGGCATCCGGAACAGATGCCCAAGCCACCTCAGCTGACTCCTCTCAACATGGAGGAGCAGCTCTACTTCGAGCTCCTCCTGTGTGACTGAGCTCCTCACCCTATCTCTAAGGGAGCTCCCAGCCACCCTGTGGTGGAAACTCATTTCTTCCACTTGTATCCGCGATCTTGTCCTTTCAGTCATTACCCAGAGCTCATAACCATAGGAGAGGGGAGGAACGTAGATTGAGCCACAACAGTCCAATACAGCGACCACATTACTGCCGACGCGTGAAATGATCCAGTATGTATTATAAACACAGAGGAGCACTTCCTGTATTACCACATGACATCACAAGGTGGAACAGAGACAAGAACTTAGCTTAAATATGCAGGATTTGTGTGTTGTGAAAATGTGTGAATGAAACAAAATACAACCCCAGGTTTGTGATGAGGAAACAACATTATAACGTAGATCAGAAAATAGCGTAATATGGGGGTGATACACAGCTCATAACTTTAAAACAATATATGTATTTTTGCAAAGTTTAAGTTGGATATGGTTGGTGCGACAGACAATAAAAAGAGTTATGTTATCCATGTTATAACCTCCCCTTGACTACTGTCCATAAAGACAAAAGTGGATTCATACATGTATCATCTGTCCTTCAGGTCTGTTTGAAAAATGGTCTGTAGAAACATTCATTCATTAAACTGACAAAGCTAATTAAGCAGTAGGGGCAAGACTCTCTGTGTGTCTCTGCTTGAACTTTAACACCAGACCACTGTTAGTTTAACTCTCAGGTGGTGGTCTGCACACAGCCCCTCCTCACATTATATGGACAGAGGAGGGAGTCTCTTAGTGGGAAAAAGACCAATGATGACAAATGCGGAATGTGCAATCATAAATTTCACGAATCTTTGTAATCATTTATAAAGAAACAGTCTGAAGGCAACAGTGACTATGTACAGAATCCAGACATCTGACTAAAATGTAAGGATGAAAATCTACAAGAAATGTGTAACAAACAACAACAAAAAATAGAAAATACTATATATAGTTCAGTATTGAAGTTGCACACAAACTGATTCAAAATGCTTTACAGAATAAGAAAAAAAACCCAAAAAAAACAAAACAAAAAACAAATCAAAACATAATCATAGTAATAACATTAAGAAAGAAGAGAGTGGTATCAAAACCTTCCAACCTTTCAAAACTGTCAACACAGTTAAACAGAATCGTTTTGAGTCTGGATTTAAACATTTTCAAAGTAGAGGTCTGTCCCACATGTTCAGGGAGACCAGGTTTTAGCAGCATAAAACTGACTTTCAGTGTTTAATCCTGACTCTGGACACCAGCAGGAGGCCGGTCCCTGAGGTCCTCAAAGTGTGAGATTTTTAGAAAAATTCAAAAAATTGTTTAGCACGCCACGTCAACATAAAGCTGCCATTAAGCCAAAGATGTTAATTTTGTCTTCTTATGTACTTTAACGTCTTGGGTTCTTTTTAAAGACAATACAGTAATGTGTATTTACCTTGTCACCGCACACATCACTACCAGCACTGGTGACAGTTCTGAAGAAGGCTTGTAGCTAGCAGCCGAAACATGTCAACAAGGTAAATACACTTTACTATATTGTCTTTAAAAAGAACCCAAGAAATTAAAGATAAAGCTGCCATTGTATCCAACTTTTCGTATAATGGCTAAATAAACCAGATTATTCGTTTTTTACTTCTACTGTATTTTCTGCACTATTAGGCAAGCTCGTAAGCCTCATCATCAAAAAACGACTGCGCGCCCCACAATCCAGAGCACCCTATACAACAATCGACTCGGGTGTCCCAGCACAACTTCAATAAACTACAAAGCCGCACGCAAACACGCACAGAGCAGACAGCGACCGCGCAGCGAAAAACACCCACAGCCACACTCATTACTCCACGCAGACGAGGAATGGAACTGAGGAACGAACTGAAAAAGCGAGTGCAATGTGCCACAACTGAACAACTGAGTCACTGCGAACACGCAAACAATCCAGAGGTCCCGGACAGCACCCTCCCTACACGCCACAACTGAACAAAGCCCAGAGTCAAGTCACCGTAAACGCGTCAAACAAAGTCCCACTGACCCATCCAACTGTTGTGCTTCGTTTAAAGTCTGGTGTGGTTTATTTGTGAAAAAAGTTTGAAAATAGACCATTCAAAGACAGTGTGCCTTATAATCCAGAGCGCCCTATAGTTCAGAAAATACGGTACTTTCAGATAAACATATTGTGAGAAAACAAAGTATTTATTATGTATTTATATTGCTCAAAATTACCTTGAAAATACCTTGAAAACTTGGTTGTGTCATCTGTCTCCATGTAAAGTTAAAGCCATACGTTGGAAGATTCCTAACAAATCCCAGATGTTGTCAAGGCAACACAATAACACCTTGACCAGAAATGTTACAGTGCACTTTATAAACGTAAACGAGACACACTGACGCACTACAAAATTGCCGCCTCCATTATTTTCTATGAGCCAACACAAACCGGGCGCCAGCATGTGGGCAGCTCCGTGTCTGATAACTATTATAAAGTATTTCTTAATCACATAACAATTAGCAAGTGGTCATGTAAAAGTGCATAACAATTCCTGTGAGATCCAAAATGCAGTCATCTATAATAATATGTCTACTGCATGTCTGTACTAAGTGTTTATAGTCATGTTAAATGGAGCGTGTCAGATTAGCAGGGATCTGGAACCACATGTGAAGCTTTTGTCTCACTGGAATGACCAGAGCCACAGTCACACATCATTTCACTTATGTTTTTTGTTATGAATCGCGACGAAAGACAAAAATTCTGGACCAAACAACGGCTCCCTCACTCTCTACCAGCCAAAACCAATGTGCCACCACAACTAATCCAAAACACATTTTCTATTTACTGGAACAACTTGAATTTTGAATAGTAGAAAGAAAAGTATATTTTTCTGACTGGTTTCAAATGTGTCTTTCCTTTTATATTAATTTTAAATGGCTTGGACTCCAAAGTTAAAGATATGCTTTTGTTTAATTCTTTGGCAGATATATTGGCCTGAATTAAAAGTGCATCAGGGATTTGTTTTTGCTTCACTTGAAATTTCCCACAGTATACAACCTCTTTATAGATAAGATATGCTTTAGCAATGACAGCATCTCAAATTCAAGTTTAAAAGGCCTAAATGCGCTGTTTTCTGATTTATATGATGTTGTTTCCCAATCAAAATGTACCTGGAGTTTTGTTTTGTTTCATTCACACATGTTTAAAACACAAAAACTGCATATTTAAGAGGAGTTCATGTCTCAAACAGAAAACACTCTGTTCCACCTTGTGATGTCATGTGGTAATACAGGAAGTGCTCCACTGTGATTTTAAACTCCATACAGCTTTACTAGAATCATCTGGGTGATTTCAGCCCTGGAATTGCCAAAATGTACTGAAAAAAAGAAACTGTTACTGTCAACAATACCACTACATGACATCACAAGGTGGAACAGAGCATTTTGAGCTTTGTAGATTTATGCAGACTAATAATAACCATGTAGATGAAACTAAACACAACTCCAGGTATGTTTTTGATGAGGTAGCAACATTAAAACATGGCTTAAAGCTCACACAAGTTCAATTTGTGTAATATAGGACCACTAATATCCTACAAGCAGACACTGAATCCACCTAAAGCACCTTTAAATTTTGATTTATATGTAAGAGACTACTTCATAAAATTCTCAGTTCAAATCTTTTTGGTTTTGAAAATGCTATAGTCACTCTAAACATTTTAACATGTTTAGAAGTTCCACTTTCATTTTCAACGTTCTGAGGTTCCCCTCCCTTTGCTCTTCGCACTACCGTAAGTCACTCCCTCTTCAGAGCGTTTTCACAGCACAGTCGTGTGCATGCTGCTAATGAAACTACTGCACATCAGGTTTGTCAAGTTGTTGTTCGCAGTTTTGTATCAAGCTTTTGTATATTTATGGAGAACTGTCATGCAGGAGCATGGATGACGTAGGCTTGTGGTCTGAACATTGAACAGAATCTTACTAACCGTAAGTAGGGTTCGAACAGGGCCTGGTAGAGATCACTAAATTAATCAAACATGCATGGATGGCATTTAAAACCTCTTCATGCATGTTTTTGATGAAGGAACAAAGTTGTAACATGGTCGAAAACTCACAAAACTGATTGAGCATAATAGCCCCTCTTTAGGTCCTGTATAATCCTTTTTGCGGTGTGGTGCCACTTCAGAGCGTACAGCAAACACAATTGAAGCATATTTTGTAGCCAGAGAATTTCACAACTTAAACAGTTTGTCTGTCTACTCCTCTGGCCCTGAGTCCAAACTGTTTTCTTCTATTTGTTTCTCTTACTTAATTGGCCGTGTTGGAGTTTGTGAAATTGGGGAGTGTATTTGTCTTGGCTTTTCTCTATGTTTTTACAGTGCATCCAAACAAGTCTTTTCCTGATGTAGGAACTCAAAACAGTACAAATTGTTCAAAGAAATGTGTGTAATTGTAATTGTGTAATTTTGGAAAATAATGTTATTGTGATTTTTTCTGACAAGTGTTGTAATTGCAATTCGATTTGCGATTTATGTTTAAAAAGTAGGATTCTGTTCTGTGCACATTATAGACATCAGCATTTGAGAAAAGAATACTGAAAACTAATACAAGAATCCCATGCATTTCACAATGTGTTGGCGGAGGTCTAAAATACAGGTACAACTTATTTCTGTAAAAAGAAGAAACAAAAATATTATATTGTGTTCTTTGCAGAGGACATTCTATTATCTAAATAATTGCAGACTTTGCAATTTGATAATTGTTTCAACTAAAATTTCTATTTTAATTCGATTGTGATTAACTGTGCATCCGTAAGTCATACTATTAGTCTTACTGATCTTGTTTTATTTAGTTTTTGTTTGGCTTTAACCACCAAAAATGTGACATTGACAAAGCATTGACAAATAACTTTAGTCTGCTATAAAGAAAACTAAATTATTATATATTTTTTTTTCACAATTAAGATTGAACATTCTAGTATCTGAATAACTGCAGTCTTTGCAATTTTACCAACTCAAATTAAGATTTCGATTAGATTGCAATTACTTGTGGAGCCCTAGTGTGTGTGGAAGTTTGAACATGAATCACTCAAACTGAAGTGCATATGACAAGTTAGACTATGCATTTCACTAAAACATAATTCAATTATATGTAAGAATTTGCTAAAAAAACAAAAAAAAACAAAACTTGACTTGTTTTCCCTGTTTTGGCAATTTTAATGACGTTTATAATTTTATTTTTTCGTTGGACATGGCCAGCAGATGTGACATACGTAGAGGTAATTCCATAATTGTTACTTAACAACCATAATGTAAACAAGGGCCAAAGAAAATACAAATATGAAAATCATCTTTAGTTTTTCAAAACAATCTTTAAACTTTCAGAAAATGGTGTTCCTTGAGCTTTGTTCCTATATTTTGGAGGGAATTTTGGGCATTGATGATTCTTTTATGCATCTCCTGAGCTTCAATGATCTTTTTGAACTTTTCCTCACAAGCTGCCACTCTCTTGAGCTTTCCTGTTCAATGGTCATCTTTGTGAAACTGTATAAAAATCACTTCACTCTAATTACAAAGGAGTTGGGCTTTGAAGCACTCTAGGAGGGCACTGAGCAGATGTGTTGAAATCAATAAAGTCACATGAGTAAAAGCTGTTGTGCACAAAGAGGCAGAACAAACAGACTGATCAAAGCTCCTGTGACTCACTATCACTGTGTGTGCTCTGCTAACACCACATGACCTTGGCTTCAGCTGTGACTGTGCTTTTAAGTTTAACTTCACAGAAACAACACAAAACATCACTGCTGTCCTTCCATCACTTGTACTCTTGTCTTGTTGATTTGATTAAAAGTTAAGGTGCACTATGTAACTTTTCTGGTAGATGGTCTGACATCTGCTTTTCTTCTGCTGATGCTTCTTGCTTTGCTTGAAATGTATAACTTATATGTATTTATATTGCTCAAAAATACCTTGAAAAATTTGGTTGTCATCTGTCTCTATGTAAAGTTAAAGCCGTACTTGGGAACGTTCCTGACAAATTCCAGATGCTGTCCAGGCAACGCAATAACACCTCCACCAGAAATCTTATCGTGCACCTTTGTGAAGGCCAACACACACCGAGACACTTTGACGTGCTGCCAAATTGCTGCCTCTATTGTTTTCTATGAGAGTGCACAAACCGAGCTCCAGCCTGCGGGCAGCGCCGTGTCTGATAACACATGCATTTTGCACTTGTATTGTGAGTACAGACATGTCTCTGTTCTGTGACCCAAAGAAACACTGTTGTAAACTTTGAGCATAGACACGAGAGCAGCAGCAGAGGCAGAGACAGCTGTAGTTCAACTCTGGGGAACACGATCTCCAATCTGCTTCTGTCCATGCAGGGAAACTCGGGTCTCTTCCTAATCTCACTATAACCTGCTCAAAGCACCACCTTTGCTCTCCTCTTACATGCTCTCATTTTATAAGTTTCTCATTTTATTTTGACGTTTTAAGTATTTTTATTTCATCTGCAGATAAAACATTCATTGTTAACACTGCCTGTGGTGGCACATTCAGTGTGTGCTGACACGTGGGTTTGAAGCACACCAAATGACACTCCTCTCTCTGGTGTCCTCCGTCTCAAGTAACTTTCATTACTACAAATTCCAAAAACTCCCTACAGTTGTTTTATGTATCCCTGTGCCCGGCCTCTTAACTGAACAAAGCTGAGCCGTGCATCCTGTATCACTAAGAAGGCCTAGCACCATGACCTTTGAACTCCTAAACTGGGCCGTGCATCTTGGGTAATGTGCTCCCAGGTTTCACTCTAGGGTCGTAGAACTCTCAAGTGTAGTATTATGAGTGGTTAAAAACTTGAAATACAATATTTACAGAAACAACACAACATTTCTTGACAGTCTACAGGAAAAAAAAAACTGAATGGGAAATTTACTTCTGGATCCAAGTATTGAGCTGTGTGAGCTTGGCTAGGAAGAATATCATCAATTAAAAGTTGTAGTATCAGAAAATATAATGACATGTATCTATTTTTGTGTTCATGACAGTTGTCCCATAGCCAACCGGACATGTCCCCCTGGTCAGAGCTGGAGCTCCAGAGTGTGTCGCTGTGTGGGTCTGAGCTCTGGAGTTTACTACAACCCTCCTCCTCCTCCTATGTCCAACACAAGACCTGCTCCACAGCACACCGGTGAGTACACTAAGCAATGTTTATTTCATTTCATTACATTACATCATTGCACCAGTACTGTCAAGTCAATAACAAAGCAAATTTTCACATAGCATCAAGACACAAACCATCAAGCCTTGTGGCTAAATCTGGGGCATTTACAAATATTTTCATTACTGTACACTGCTCCAGTCAAACTAAAAAAATATATATATATATTAAAATGGGATAGAATACATAATCATGTACACTAGTGAAAGTACGTAATAAGGCAAAAACCATATATAGTATAGTATGTAACTTTTTGGAGGTGGCACATCACCTGCATGATTTCATGGAAATGGAAAGTTAGAACCATACTTTGGAACATTCTCCATGGAGACACATCATCTTTATGCCATACTGAAACATTATAGCCAATGGAACATTGGAACATACAAGAGTCAGGTTTGTGGAGATGCAAGTCTGCTCGCAGTAAGGACATGTTTCAGTGCAATAAATATAACTAGAATGGTTCATTTAATCTACATCTCCTGTACTAGCAACATCAAAATAATCCAAGAAACATCTAAATTGTTTTTAATTAAAAAAAACCCAAAACAAAACAAAACTGTAAACATGTATACATACATACATACATACATACATACACACATACACAGAGTACTCATGAGTTGCTTCCCCTGTAACCAACATCCTGCCTCTGCCTCTCCTCTTCTGAGATGCTGAGATGAGTAAACCAGACGTGTTTATCAGAGGAAGCTGTTTCATGGATTTCATGCCTGAGCTCTTATTGTACAAACTCTGGCTGATTATTTGGTCTCGTAAATCATTGCAAAGGAAATATAGCAGTTTTAGTGTCCAGGCCAGCAGCTGGGATTTGTGAGTACATAAGTCATACATAAGTACTAGAGTGTGTGTGTGTGTGCGCAAAGTAAACAATGGAAAGATTCAGGAAGAGAGGTCAATGCTGCAGATAGAAGTGCTGAATTTTCTTCTTAAAGGCAAATATCTTTGAATAAGTCATTTTGCAACAGGTTTTTCAGTTTACATATTTTGTTAAAGTTGACCTAGTTTTGTCAGATAATAATTTAATGAGGGTAGTAAATAACAACAGAGGATAATCCATGGACTGAGTTAGCTGGAAGTGATCAGACAGTTTAATCTGTTTTTTCACTTTAAAATTCCAGAGTCAATATTGATACTAAGGAAGAAACTCAATACACCTTCCAATACCACAATGATAATTTAAAAAACACTCTTTATTTTGACCATATTAAGTCATAACAGTATCTTTTTTTTTATCTGTGTTATTCCTCAGTCAAAAGGGGAGCTTCCATGAGCGTATATTAGTCTATTTTTGTTGTGATACAGCTCAAGATCATTCTAAAGCTATTCAGGAAAGGTTCATTTCTGTGAACATGACCTGCTCCACTGTGTGTCTAGTTTGAATATAATAGTTTTAGCATTGATTAGTAAGATTTGTTAGATTTCTGCTACTCTTGACAATGCTCTGTCTTATCAAATAAAATCAAAAAATTGCCCAATATTTCTTAAAAGGAAAATAAAACGCTTACAATTGGTACAACTCACAAGACCATTTTGTATTTCTTTTTCTTTTTCGCAAACCAAGGACAGTCAGCTCCACAGTCAAAGCCCGTATAAGCATTCCGAAGCTAAATTGGATTTTCTGAAGTGGCTCATTTAGAAAACGTGTCTGGCCAAAAGGCATAAAATCGACCCAGGACTCAGACACCTCTGATGGAGCGAGACCCGCCGTCACCCCCAAAGTGTTCAAACATGAGCTGAGTTTGGCCCATTCTCCTGACAGCCCGTGGCCCTCATCCAGTCCAACAGCAGAGAACCAGGAAATATTACCCATAATGCAGCGTGGCGGAGGTCCCAGGACGTGAACAGGTCTGACCCCTTCGTCGTTGGGGTGAGAGGAGATACAGAGAGTGTTACAGAGAAAGATGGATGATGCTCGACGGGTTATGGAACTGTGAGAGGAACCAGTGAGACGTTATAAAAGTTTGATTTAAGAGCGCTATACCTGATTTTTACTGTCCTAAGAGCGGAAAGAAAAACACATCTAGTTCACTTACCTCAGGCATTCTGAGCCTTCTACTTATTCACCATGACAAGTTTATATGCACTTTTCACAACTCCTACAACGACTAGCATGTTAACACACACTTCCTGATGATCAAACAATAAAATGTTTTCTAATTAGATGCAGACAGCAGTTTGACCTCAAGAGCTGCCTATGCAATATATCTGTCCTGGGGCACAAGAGAATTTACTCAAATAGAGTGTTAAAAATTCAATAAGTGACTTGTGCGAGTTTTGATTAATATGTGATTAACTAACTCAACCTGCAAGTCCTGGTGCTTTGAGCCCAGCAGTTATGCCAGCGATGTGATGAAGGGAGTTAGGCTTTAGTCCTTAAAGAAGTTTGTCCACCAGTGTCGTTCCTGCCCAGTTTAAACAGGCTGTGGTTCACCCTCTGATAAAGAAACCTGGCCTTGATTCATCGGTGCTGTCAAATTTCAGGCCAATTTCTAAGCTTCCCTTTCTCTCCAAAATACTGGAGAAAATTGTTTTTATCCAACTGAAATCATTTTTAGATGAGCACAATGATTTAGAAACTTTTCAGTCTGGTTTTAAGAGTCTACACAGCACAGAATCTGAACTTTTGCGTGTTTTTAATGACATATTTATTTCTACTGATGCTGGTGATTCTGTTGTTCTTGTGTTGTTGGATCTGACAGCTGCGTTCGACACAGTGGAACAGGAGATTCTTCTGTCCCGGTTAGAGCACTGGGTGGGGATTCGTGGTCCAGCCCTGCTATGGTTCAGGTCATACCTGACTGATAGACATTTCTGTGTTAGTGTTGGTGATTATGTTTCCTCCTCTACTCCCCTGTCATACGGGGTTCCCCAGGGATCAATTCTAGGGCCTTTGATTTTTTCCCTTTATATGCTCCCTCTGGGCACCATTCTGAGGAAACATGGCATCTCTATCCACTGTTATGCAGATGATAGTCAAATCTATCTGCCATTAAAGAGACATGATCCGCAGGCTGCCAGACCACTTCTAGACTGCATTAGTGACATAAAATCTTGGGTGTCACAAAATTTTTTGCATCTAAATCAGGAAAAATCAGAGGTTATGGTTTTTGGCCCTAGCTCCCTAAATTCTTCTTCTTCTGTAGACCTGGATTCATTAAATCATTTAGTGAAGCCAGTTGTTACAAATTTAGGGGTCAAAATGGACCCAGATCTAAAACTTGATCACCAAATTAGTGCTGTTGTAAAAGCTAGTTTTTTCCAGTTAAGACAACTGGCCAAAATTAAGCCTATTTTGTCAATGGAACATTTTTGAAACTGTCATACATGCGTTTGTGACAACTAGGTTGGATTACTGTAATGCACTTTATGTTGGTGTCAACCAAAATGCACTTTCCCGGTTGCAACGGGTCCAAAACTCAGCGGCTCGACTTTTAACTGAAACCCGGAAACACGAGAGCATCTCACCTGTTTTTGCTTCACTTCATTGGCTCCCAGTGTCTTTTAGAGTTGATTTTAAAATTCTTTTATTCACTTTTAAGTGTTTGCATGGGCTAGTGCCCTCCTACCTCACTGACTTGATCCACCCTTATGTCCCCTCTCGTACTCTCAGGTCTGCAGACCAACTCCAGCTCGCCGTCCCAAAAGCTAAACGTAAACTTCGTGGGGACCGTGCGTTTTCTGTTTCTGCTCCTTGGCTGTGGAACCAGTTGCCATTAGTGATTAGACAGGCCGAGTCTGTACCTGTTTTTAAATCACTCTTAAAAACGTATCTTTTTTCACTGGCTTTTAATAAGTGACATGTATATTCTTGTCGAGTATTTTGCTGTTTTTTAGGTTTTTAGTGGTTGTATTGTATGTGTATCATATATTTTCTTCTATTGTCTGTCCTGTGTTTGTGTACAGCACTTTGGCATACTGTAAAGTTTTTAAAGTGCTTTATAAATAAAGCTGGTATGGTATGGTATGGTAAAGAAGACATATTTGTCCCTGTGTCTATTATATATAGTAGTATGGCACATGTGGATCATGTTATAATTTGAACATCTAAAATTACGTAAAACGACTAAAAACAACTGATATGGAGCACAACACAGAGGACAATGTATGGAGTGAATTAGCTGGAGTTTTAGAAGTGACTGGACAGTTAAATCTAATGTATGAAGACACTGTTCACTTGTAATTCTAACAAACACTTCTACTGGCACACCTGTTATATTGTAGAGGAGAATATTCATTGAAAATTGACTTTTTGTTATAACATTGTTCCCTCATCATTTCTTTTTATTTTTTATTTTTTAATGTGATCCATGCATGCTTGAGTAATCACTCATGGGCACTACGCTCCTCTTGTATAGAACCCCCTCTGCATTTTCAAAACAATAAAAGGTTACATGGTGATCTGAATATGTTATGAGTTAATATAACAATTACCCCTCTTTAAATAACTCAAAGTTAGTCGTGATTTAGGGTTGACTGGCAGTCAGTCCTTTCTCCCTCCTGGGAACGGGCTCACAGCATCTTGTCCACTCCATCCGACTCCAATGTGATCATGGAATATTTGTCCTCTTGAGCCAGAACACTTCAGCCTCCGCCATCTCCACTCTGAACCCATGAGTAATATCACAGAGCACGCCCGCGGTCACCAGCTTTCAGGGTTATATTTAGAAAAGCGATTTCAATTTTCCATCTCGACTCTTTCCCAGTAGAAACAAAAGGAACAAAGTCCTCCAAAAACAATAAAGATGCTTCACTCACATCAGGCCCTCCATGTGAAACTCAAAGGACCAGACAGCCACAAACGTGTCGCTTCGGCCCACTCTGCAGATCCGTCTAGTCCCGTTCATGAAGCATATGTTGATCCAAAGGTCTGACCCGAGCCATTACTGTCACATTCAGTCAAAATCAGGACTAACCACAGTGAGATATGCGTAAGGCTGTAACTGACACTGCACAACTGTCAAAACACTAAGAATATCAGGCAAAAAGAAGCCTGGGAAAATGCTAACGTGAGAAACAAAGTCAGATTCTGTCAGAAAATGAAGTGAAATCATTAAAATTCTCATATCACTCAAAGAAAGCTGAATTTCCTGCCTTTGGTTTCTAGTACTTTACAAATGATTAAACTGGTATACTAAATGCATGAAGAAAAACATCAATCTTACTACCTTCTAACTTCTAACTCTTTTTCCATTGTACAAATACAGCCTCCTTATTGCCTATGTCTATTAATAGCTTGCATGCTTGTACACTGCTTTGCTTATATCACATGTATACATTAAGGCTGAACTTGTGAAGAGTCTGGATGTGGCGGCATGATGGCTGACTGCTTGCATTCATGCTCGCAACAAGAGGGTTGTAGAGCTTAAATGTTTGTCCTAGTGTGTGAGTGGGTTTAATCTGGGCACACTGATTTCTTACCCAGGCTGGCGCTACCTAGTGCCTCAGCTCACTATCATTTCTCTCCAGCAACTAGGTCAGGAATTGGAATTTATTCGACGGTTTGCAAGCACCCTGGAAGTTGTAGACAGCACAATCAGCGAAGAGCTTACTAACCCGAGCTGCGATTGCAGACTGCATACACTATCCTCCTTTGGACGTACTTTGTCATACACAAACTTCACATTTTTTATTGCACCTTTAATTCGCAAGTTCATCTCACAGAATTGACAATAATCATTGACGGACGTGTTGATTCTCTGCTTTGTTTGTTGTTGTGCTGACAGTTACTTACACCACTGAGCGTTCCGGTGCATTACATACGTCACAACCAAACAGCAGCAATTGGTTAAATAAAAAAGTAACCACCTACCATCGAGCGAACAAATCCTAATACTGCGAGGTCATACGGTTTCCACAAAGTGAAACCAGCTGATGAACCAAGCTACTGGTTTCCCCCATCAACCCAATAACATCCACAATAGATCAAATCCCTCATCTTAAGGTAGCACTGTTCAAGAATATCTAAAGATCTGGAGATGGGTTCCACTGCTTTAGACAGGGTTCCCTAGCAGCACTGAAGAATGGGTCAAATTTTCCAACAGGGACAATAAAGAGCATTCATTGTGATAGAGCATTCACCCTCACTGAAGAGTTTGTGGTTTTAATCCCAGCTGTAACCACAGCAAACTGCTCATGTTTCCTTTGGGATGACACGTTACCCGTCTTGATGGTGTGTGAGTTTGTGGATGCAGATTGGCAGGTTGTATACAGGTTATTATACTGTAATTATGTCAGTCTGTCCCGAAGAAGAAGAAGAACTTTGCAGTCAAGTGTAGAGTGAATGAGCAATACTTGAAATATTGATGGAAAATAAAAGTGCTCATCAAAATCACTATTTGTGAACTACTTATTCAACAAGTGATGCATAGAAACCAGAAGGAGCTCATTTAATGACCAATTAAAATTTCATTTTTCAGATTATTCTAAACAGTTTAATTCATCAGATTTACAGGGTCACTCGAGCCACTATGCATATTTATAGCCCAGAAAATAGTGAGTTATGTGATGGTATTTGTGAGTAAATTCCAGCCCTGTAGAGCCTGCGTGTGTCTAACTCGCGAGCGCGAAGAATCTGCCAGAATCACAAAAGAAACCATCTGTGTTTTCTACATAGAGGAATGTCTTGTGTCGTAGTTTATCAGTGAAGCCAGATTAGATATTTATTACAGGAAAATCAGTGCTCTTGGACTGAACAAAAGTTGAAAAGGCATTCCAGGGGTTATCTTGGATCAGATATGAATTAGCTGCTGTTAAATGCATACAGAGATAGTGTCACTTAGAATACAGCACATATGATTGAATATTTGTGTTTCTTGTACTGTTCCTTCAGATACAAATGACTTTTTGTCCTCATTTTTATCATCTATACTTTGAAAATACCAGATTTTGTCTTTCCAATTACATTAACTTGAAATTATAAACCAGATGTTATGTCCAGACAGTTACTCTTATAATTACTCTTAATTGAGTTGTACTTTTTCCAAATTACTATTGAGTAATTTCTTGGACCACTATCTTGTATTTCTACTTGACTGATATTATTTCGAAGTACTTTCTGTGATTCTCCAACGAGAGGAATACACTGTGATTGTGTTAGAGCTCTGAAATGGGAATGACTTTGCACAGAGAGCACATAGAAAAAGGAAAATAAAACTTATTAACATGTCAATACATTGTTTTTGCCAGATTTTGTATTTTCAAAACAATAAAAGTGCTCTAATTCATGGTGCTCTCAATAGTTTATGTGTTAACTATTAGTACCCCATTAAAGTCGAGTACCCCCTCTTAAACATGTTTCCTTTTCTTCTTGCAGATTTCTTCTCCTCAGACGTGTGTGGGTCCGATAAAGAGCTGGACGCAGAGACCTGTCAGTGTGTGTGTCGTCACGGTGACCGCCCCTGTGGCCCCAACCGCCATTTTGACCGAAGCTCATGCCAGTGCGTCTGCAGCTCCCACACCTGTCCCCCAAACTTCAGCTTCGACCCAGACACCTGTCAGTGCACCTGCGCCAAGTCCTGCCCCCGCAACCAGCCCCTCAACAAGTCCAAGTGTTCATGTGAATGTAACGAGTCGCCCAACAAGTGCTTCCTGAGAGGGAGGAGGTTCCATCAGGGCACGTGCAGGTGGGCTGGGGCATTCTTTTATTTTTTTATATATATGTTTTTATATTTATAGAGAGATAGGGTATTGTATTGTACAAAATTGACTTTTTGGAGCTTTCTATCATGTTGTAACGTTGTTGTTTCCTAATCTCCCCCAAAAAAGGGGGGGTGATTAGAAGCTCAGGTGGTTCGAGTGTTTGTCCAGTGCAATTCCAGCTCCCATAGACAAATGTGTCCTTGGGCAATACACTTAACCCACCTCGCCCCCAGTGTTTGTACATATTGGTGTATGTATGGGTGTGTGTGTGTGTGTGAATGGGTGAGTGTTTCCTTGATGTAAAGTGCTTTTGAGTGCTTTGAAGATGGGAAAAGCACTATATAAAGCGTGATAATTTACCATTTACACACCTGAAGAGGTTTCTGATGTCATCCATGCATGTTTCAGTAATTTAGGGATCTTTCACAGGCACTATTAGACCCTCCTGATGGTTAGCTGTAAGATTCTGTCCAATGCTCAGCCTCACAAGCCGACGTCATCGACGTGCTCCCACATGACAGTTCTACATATACAAAAGCAAAACTGTAGACAAGAATTTGACAAACCTGATGTGATGTGCAGTAGTGTCATTAGCGGGATAGACAGTGATTATGTTGTGATAATGTGCTGAAAACTAAAGTGAAACTTATAAACCATGTTAATATGTTCAATAAAAGGTAACATGGTGATCTAAACATGTTATGTGTCAACAATTAATACCAGACATAGTATTAATTCTCATTACTTTAAAAAAGTAAAGAGTTACTATTACAAATTACTTCCCCCATAAAGTAACTGAGTTACCATACTGTAGAAGTAATTAATCACTCAGCAAAGTAATTATCCAGTTATTTTTCATGTTATGTACTATTTGCCTGAAAAATCGAGTTTGGCTTTAATACAGTGGCTCCGTCTCCATCTTGGCCAGAGCTCATGCTAACAGCAGGGTGAACAGCAGCTAGAGGCGTGTTAGCAGGTGACGTTGTGAGGTGCTTCATTAGATTTGAGTTACTCGAGGCAGACATGGACAGAATTATTTTCCCAGGTCACAGTTATACTTCACATACACATTCTTGCCCTTTATTTCAATGAGGGAGAAATAGTGTTGGTATTTCCAGTTTGAACACGCTGCCTTTGAATGTCCCTAGATCATCGCTGCCATTGTTGCATTCTCGTTGAGTTTGTCTTTAAGCCTGAAGTGTGCAGGAAAGAAACAACAAGGCAGCATGAGCAGAGACTCCGCCCACCCAACTTCTTAGCCAATTATGTTGGCCCTGCTCTGTCCTGAGCTCTCCCTGCTCCTGCTGATGATGTGTGTCGCTGCATGACGCCTGACACCGCGGCGCCTCATTCAACCCAACTGTAACTTACCACTTTGTTTTCCTGGTAACAATAACAGTGTTGTAACAATGGAGAGTGTAATTAATTAGATTACTCCATTAATGAAAAAGTAGCGTTATACTAAAACACCGTTAGCCCCAACACTGGGCTCTACCGTATTTAATGTTTAATGGAATTCGTTAGCACGAGTTCGAGCACTTGCTCAAGTGATAGATAGAGTGAGTGAGTGACAGAGATGTTTAATGGTTCAACTCTGTCTCCAAGTGCATTCTGTTGTTGTTTCCTTGAGCAAGACACTGACCTTGTCTAAGTCAGTGATTTGTCAGAGGGGCTGTTGGTCACGTTTCTCAGTGCTTTGAGAAATCCAAAACATAACAAAAATCCAAGACTTTATTATTACTTTTAAAAATATATTAACTTTCAAAATGATAGATCAGCTGTGGCGTTGTCTAAGTAGAATTTCTAAGCAACTCCAGTAAAAAAAGACACAATTTGATCAATCATTTAGATAAGGCAATGTCATCAATAGCACTTAATAATAATATTAATATGTCAGCAAGTTTATTAATGAGCAATCCTGTACTTTTATAAGAAATAGTTCACTGACACTGAAATATAGAGGTGAAAGTGTACAATCACAACAAAGCATCCCCAAGAGAAGGACAGATTTATCCATTTTAGGTTTTGTGTTTAAGTTTAATTTTAGGAACGTACAATGACTCACATCATTAATAATAATAAAATAATATCAGTTTTGTTTGACTTATATTTTCAAAGTTTGCAGTCCTGTTTCTTCCTGATGGGAGCTCGCCACCGCCTTGTCTCTATGGAGATGTTATTATATGTTTCACAATCGGGTTTCAAAGGTCACAAAATGGACTCTTGTGAGATTTTAGCCATGTTATAATGCTGCTACCTCCTCAAAAACATACCTGGAGTTGTGTTTTGTTTCATTCACACTTTTTTATTATTTGTCTGTTTATATCTTCAAAGCTCAAATGCTCTAGTCAGGTTGGCGCCACCTAGTACCTTAGCTCAATTTCATTTCTTTCCAGTGACTAGGTCAGGAATCGGAATACACTAGTCGGTTTGCAAGAACCCCGGAAGTGCAAGTCCGGACACCAGCCAATCAGAGAAGAGCCATATATTCTGTGTTGGCAACAATTCCACAGATCGAGGATTTAAAGCTGGAACAAAGAGTATGTTTGGTGAATTTCATCAAGGGGAAAGACGTTATTGCCCTTTTTCCTACGGGATTTGAGAAAAGCCTAATATACCACTTAGCCCTGTTAGTGGTGCATTACATACATCACGACCAATTAGCAATGATTGGTTAAATTAAAAAAGTACCTGCCTACCATTGAGCGAACGAATCCCAATGCCGCGAGGTCAGACGGTTCCTACAAAGTGAAACCGGCTGATGAATCAGGCTAAAACAGACTTGTGATGTCATGTAGTGGTAGTTTTGAAGTTAACAGCTCTGCTTTACATTTACTTCAGTTGAGATCGGTAATTCCAGGACTCAAATGATCCAAATGATTCTTGTGAAGGTGTATGGAATTTAAAAAAGACAGGGTAGCATTTTCTATACTACCACATGACATCACAAGGTGGAACAGAGTGTTTTCTGTTTCAGAGAAGAACTCAGCCTAAATATGCAGGATTTGTGTGTTAAACATGCAGTTTTTCATGAGGAAAGAACACTATAACATAACCAGAAAAAAGTGTAATTTGGGCCCTTTAAATGTATTTATCATGGATACACGCAGATGATGCTACCAGGTCAAGTTCCAGGTCAGGTCTGTGGAGAGGCAACCACATTCACAGTAAAAATAGCATATTTCAAGGTCTGTTTTCACAGTTCAAGATAGATATATTAAATGCCGTATTGTGGAACACTCCAGGCAAAGCAGTAACAATCAGGTGACCCCAACAGAAAAGTTACATAGCGCACCTTTAAATGTGCTGCTGTGATGATCTCCCTTCTTATGTTTCATCATCATAACATACCTGGAGTTTTGTTTTGTTTCATTCACTCTGTTCCACCTTGTGATGTCATATGGTAATACAGGAAGTGTTTTTGAACTCCATCTATCTTCTCTACCATCATTTGGATAATTTCAACCCTGGAATTGCCCATCTCTACTGAGGTTAACTTGAAAACAGCCTCTTCGTGACATCACAAGGTGGGACAGAGCATTTTGAATGTAGGAGATGTAAACAGACTAATAATAAATGGAAACTGAAACATGTGCGAATGAAACCAAACACAACTCTGAGTATATTTTTGTTGAGGTAACGTCCTAACATGACTTCCAGCTCACAAGAGTCAATTTTGCGTAATATAAGACCTTTAAACATCTTTAATCCCTCCATAATTAGTTTTGGTTGAACTTTCACATCATTGCATCACCTCCTCCTCGTCCGCTCATGTGTGATCTGCAGTAGCGGATGCAGTAGTCGCTGTTGGCTTAAACCGTGTGTAATCCAAACCTTGGTGCTAATGACTTCTGTGAGCTGTCACTTAACCATTTCCTCTCCTCAAACCAAGGAAACACTGGGCAACTCTCACATCCATCCAACCTGTCCACCGTTGACCCCTCGTGACCCCGCTCCTATGTGATTTATGAAGCCCGCTGCACCACAGGAATCCAGCAAGGGGGGTTTGGTTTAGTCCCATTTAAAGGCACTGTACCCAATCTTTTCATGTAATTAAGTCTTTTTTTTTTGCAGCTCTTAAGGTCAAAATGAGATTGCTTTGTGCTGGCTGTTTCCATCAAGTTATGAAACGTTTTTATTGCCCGTGAACCAGGAAGTATGTCTGAGCTGGCCTCTGAAAGTTGCGGTGAATAATTGGGAGGAAGTGAGGAAGAAATTTGGACCACTGCAAATAATTTAAAGAGGTGTTATTTTACTTCTATAGGTTTTTGACGACTAACACATAACATTTTTAGATCATCATGTTACTTTTTATTGTTTCGAAAATGCTAAATTATGCAAAAACAACGCGATGATTTTACATGTTTCATTTTTGTTTGTGACTCGCTGACTCTCTCCATTTGCTTGTCTGGCTAAGTCACTCCCCCTTCATACCGCAACCGTACAGCTAAAAATAAAGAAGTTTACTGAAACATGGTCGAATGTTTTTGCATAATACCGTCTCTTTAAAACTTTAATTAGTTGTGTTTTTGGTGTTTTTAAGACTGGTCTGCGTTGAGGAACAGTGCCAATTGCGTTACACACAATGTTTATTAAAGTGTAATTGGCATAATAAGTCCTCTTTAATGGATTGGTGAAAGTCAGTTTTATTTTTCCAGTCTTAATGGTTGCTGTTGAAGGCAGAGGTACCCTGTCCTAAGTGTAGCCTCCTGTTTGAAGTTTCAGCTGTAAATCACTGTAGGTCCCTGAAGGAGGCAGAAGGCAGAGTGAAATCTAAACCATGAGTCTGACCTGTGCCCCTGAACGCATCACGTCTTAATGGAGGGGTGAGGGGTGCAGACAGTTCACATCAGAGCACTGTAAATCAGGTTTAGGAATCGTTGTGATGGGTGGCTTCATTTAAGTGTCTAGAAAACAAATGGTTGTATTATTTTTATGTGTATTTGAAACTCGACCCCTTAAGCAAGATATTTCACCCATTTTTTCCTGTTTAATAAGTTTTTATTTGACAAAGACAGAAATTAAGGCATTAAGGCAAACCAGTTTTTAAGTGGTATAGAAATACATTAGTCCTTTCAAGACACAATTTCCACAGGACAAAACACGAGACAAAACACGAGACATCATTTCAAATAAATCAGTCCTGTAGATAAAGTCATTAGGCCTCACATGTTCTAAATTGATAGTATTAGGTTTGCTGCTGTCGTAGGTCACTAGGCACTACTTCCTTAGCTCAATTTAAATTCTGTCCAGCAACTAGGTCAGGAATTGGAATACCAGTGGCGAACTGTGGACCTGGACCCCAGGCCTTCACTAGGACCAATTGCTGGCTATCATGACATTTTTTCAGGGGGCACATAGGCCAAACCTATAAATTTGTATTATAAACATATGTATTATATATAGTATTATAACGAATGCCAGAAACAGACAGTTTGGTCACTATTGGTTGAACTAGTATATCGATCAGAGTACCACGCACAGCCAAGCGCAAAGATTACACAACCTGATCCACCGCTCACACACAGCCCCAACAACACAACGCAACACATCGCTCACACACAGCCCCAACAGCACCCATAACTCAATTAAATATGATTGGCTAAGACAACTGCCAATCTCAAACTCATCCCCACATGGACTTGAATTGCACGGGCCTTCACTACAGGAAGGCGAAGGCCTTGCAGGTGTTTCTTTAGTTCAGGGGGAGTCACTGATTTACCCAAATACCATTGGAAGAAAAATTGTGTTTGGTCCATTTCCATTCTATTATATTAACCCTTTATTTCCCAATAAATATTAGTAGTTATTACTACTGTAGTGTTTATTACTCACTGAATAAAAAATATTGAAAAAATATATTAGTAGTGCAAAAATTGGGCCTTCACTGAATACCTTGAAGACTTTGAGAATTCCCCTTTGCGGAATACACTAGATGGTTTGCAAGAACCCTGGAAGTTGTAGACCGCGCACCGGCCAATCAGTGAAGAGCTGTGAAGCCATGATGTCAAACTCAAGTGGCTGTCTGGGTCCCTTAGGTGGTACAGCACAACAGTAAACAAAGTGGTTGAGATTGATGTAGACGAAGACATACATTCTGTGTTGGCAACGATTCCCAAGATCGAGGATGAAAGACGTTATTGCCCTTCTTCTTATGGGATTTGGGAAAAGCTTAACATACCAGTTAGCCCCGTTAGTGGCGCATTACATGTGTCACAACCAAATAGCATCGATTGGTTAAATGAAAAAAAGAAAAAGTACCCACCCACCGTCAAGCGAACGAATCCTAATGCTGTAAGGTCAGACGGTTTCCACAAAGTGAAACTGGCTACCAATTCTTCACTAGGCAAATGTAAACACATGAAAAAGGCATAGAATTATTTTCCACGTTTTCACAATCTTGTGTCAATTTTATTTTGTAACAACCAGGTGGGAACACTGTACTATAAGAGTTACATAGTGCACCTTTATACAATAAATAAATAAAAGCATGTTTTTTGTTGTTGTTGTTTTTCTCCAAAAACATGCGTCCTTACTCTGGCCAGTCTAGCATGTTCCACAATATGGTTTCAACTTTATATTTCACTGATATCATACAGGTGATGTGCCACTTCCGGAAAGTTACTGTCAAGCTCCTGTTACTGTATTTTTAACATTAGCTGTCATTATCTGTGGTTATAGCTACAGTACAGTATGCGTTTGCTCACTGTACTTGTCTTTCTGTGTTCCAGTTGTGTGCGACCTCCATGTGAAGTGCGGAGGAGACGGTGTGAGCCCGGATTCTCCTTTAGTGAAGAAGTGTGCCGCTGTATACCGTCCCATTGGAGAAGACTGGACTAGAAACAAAACCAAAAACCGAACTTTGATCCAACTTTTCTCCCCATCCCCTGAGCTGTGGAGGCAGCTAGAGACCCTAAACCACACGGGATACTTTCATAACAGGAGAAACAGACTCTGGTGAAGTGAAGGTGGAAATGCACTGATTTAAAGGACTTAAAATGCAGGAGAACGGAGCCGAAGGGACAGAAGAGGCCTTTAAAATATTGTCTAAATCATTTGAATGTGTTCGTATTAATTTTATCACAGTATTCTTATGTCAGATTTGGATTATATAATTTATTAAATGCTATTTTCTGCCTGTTTTTTTTTTTTTCTTTTTCATGGAAATACACTGTGATCATTATTTTTGTATCATGTAAAGTATAAGATGGAAATAAAATATACTGGATTCTGTATGCGCTTATGTGTTATATTATACAAACATTTGGAGCTTTCTACCATTGTTTAACGTTGTTTCCTCATCAGAAACATGCCTGATGAGGTTTTAGATCCATGCATGTTTCAGTAATTTAGCAATCTCTCCCAGTTGTCATTCGAGCCCTTCTTATGGTTAGCTCCGCCCACAAGCCTACATCTCCAACACGACAATTCTCCATAAATATACAAAAGCAAAATACAAAACTGCACACAACATCTTTACAAACCTGACGCGATGTGCAGTAGTTTCATTACCAAGAGGCGCCCTGAAGGGGTGTGACGTAGCATGGAGAGCAAAGGGAGAGCGTCAGAGCGTTAAACTTATAAACCAGGACCAAAACAGGACTCAGTCAGGAGTAAACCAGGGCTAAATAAACCAGGACTAAATCAGAACTAAACCAGGACTAAAACTGTATTTAATAAGGACTAAACCAGGACTAAATAAGGACTAAATCAGGACTAAACCAGAATTAAATCGTGACTAAAACAGGACTCAGTCAGGACTAAACCAGGACTGAACCGGGACTAAATCAGGACTAAAACAGGACTCAATCAGGATGAAACCTGAGCTAAAAAAGGACTAAATAAGGACTAGATCAGGACTAAACTAGGACTAAATAAGGACTAAACCAGGACTAAATCAGAACTAAATCAGGACTAAAACAAGACTAAATAAGGACTAAATCAGGAGTGAACCAGAACTAGACCAGGACTAAAACTGGATTAAATAAGGAACTAAACCAGGACTGAATCAGAACTAAATCAGGACTAAAACAAGACTAAATAAGGACTAAATCAGGAGTGAACCAGAACTAGACCAGGACTAAAACTGGATTAAATAAGAACTAAACCAGGACTAAATCAGAACTAAATCAGGACTAAAACAAGACTAAATAAGGACTAAATCAGGAGTGAACCAGAACTAGACCAGAACTAAAACTGGATTAAATAAGAACTAAACCAGGACTGAATCAGGACTAAACCAGGACTAAATGAGGACTAAACCAGAATTAAATCGGGACTAAAATAGGACTTAATCAGGATTAAACCTGGGCTAAAAAAGGACTAAATAAGGACTAAATGAGGACTAAACCAGGTCTAAACTAGGACTAAATAAGGACTAAATCAGGACTAAACCAGGTCTAAACTAGGACTAAATAAAGACTAAATCAGGACTAAACCAGGTCTAAACTAGGACTAAATAAGGACTAAAACAGGACTAAATAAAGACTAAATCAGGACTAAACCAGGATTAAATCGGGACTAAATAAATCAGGACTAAAACAGGATAAATAAAAACTAAAAACTAAAACAGGACTAAATAAGGACTAAAACAGGATTAAAACAGGACTAAATAAGGACTAAAACAGGACTAAACCAGTATTAAACTAGAACTAAACCAGGACGGGGTCTGGGATTAGAACCTGAGACCTTTTGTTGGCATGTCATATGAAAATCAGTTTTAGATTGATTATGGACTGATAATGATGTTACATAAGAACTACATAAGACTGTCGTTCTTTCCAGGTAAATTGAGAAACAGTGATTTTACACAATACCGTAAGCCCCCCCTTAGACCCCCCCGACATGTTGTGTTATCTTGACATCTCCACGGATTGCATCATGGTACATTTCTTTGGAAAATAAGTCACTTGTTATCAAACCTGATCAAAGATTATTCCTCCTTAAATTCTTGGGCCATGACTTGTCCTTCCTGAGGCTCACATCTCAAATATGAAAACATCCACAGAGGGAAAGTGGACCAAGATGTCAGACTTATTACAGTGTCTGTGTAGGCGTGAGCAGATCGCCTTGTATGTTTAAAGCAGGGTATGTTTTTGCACACTGGTTAGCACCTCTCACCTCACACGTATAAGGGTCTGAGTTTAATTCTCAGATTCCATGTTTGGGGTCTGTCCAGGTGAGTTTCCTCGTGGTGTCCTGGTTTCCCCCCATCAACTTAAACAAGGAATGCATATTATTACATAAATGAATACTTTTCAAATAGGAGGTGAGTATGGGGATACTTCCGGCTTCATCGACTCTGACTCCAGTTTACTTTGTATTGTAAAACTCTCGCGCCTCTCTCCATAACTGCTGACTCGTCATTTTGGTTACCTTCAACAGCCCTGCTCCGGATTGGCTCTTTGGTTGCTATGATACTCGGGGTCGGAATTCCAAACATGAACCTTGGCTCCAAATTTGCCCCTGTAAACCCGAGCTTCGGTGAGCTTCATTTGACTGGAGCCGAACAAGAAGGGACAGGAGGACAGTGGACGAACTGTTCTCCATCATGGACACTCCTGCTCACCCACTGCACCCAATTGTAGAGGGGCAGAAAAGATAATACTCCCTACAACTGTACAACAACTTGCCATTAGGTAACAGATAATACTCCCTACAACTGTACAACAACTTATGCTATGTAACAGATACTCCCTACAACTGTACATCAACTCACCTTTATGTAACAGATAATACTCCCTACAACTGTACACAACTCACCCTTATGTAACAGATAATACTCCCTACAACTGTACAACTGTAACAGATAATACAACTGTACAACTACTTATGTAACAGATAATACTCCCTACAACTGTACAAACTCACCCTTATGTAACAGATAATACTCCTACAACTGTACAACAACTGTAACAGATAATATACAACTGTACAACAACTCACCTTATGTAACAGATAATACTCCCTACAACTGTACAACAACTCACCTTTATGTAACAGATAATACTCCCTACAACTGTACAACAACTCACCCTTATGTAACAGATAATACTCCCTACAACTGTACAACAACTCACCCTTAAGTAACAGATAATACTCCCTACAATTGTACAACAACTCACCCTTATGTAACAGATAATACTCCCTACAACTGTACAACAACTCACCTTTTATGTAACAGATAATACTCCCTACAACTGGACAACAGATAACCCTCATCTTTCTTCACTTTCTCGCCCTCTCTTTTCACCTCTCTCTCATCCCTCCCCTCTCCTCCTTCTCTCCTTTCTCACTCTCCTCTACCTTTTTTCACTCTTTCTTTCTCTTCTCCTCCCTCTGACGTCTCCCCTTTTCTCATCTTCCTCTCCGCTACTTTCTCTTGACTCTCTCCTCTCCTCCATTTCTCCTTCTCCTCCCCCAAGCCCCCTCCGTTTCCCTCTCTCCTCACTTTTTACCCACCCCTCTCTCCTCCCTCTCCCTATCTCTCTCTCCTCTCTTTCCTGTCTTCAGACTCTCTCTCTCCCTCTCCCTCCCTTACACTCTCTCTTCCCTCTCTCCTCTCTCTTCCCCTTTCTCTTCCCTCTCATCAGTCCCTCTACCTCTCTCTTCCCTCACTCTCCCGCTCTCTCTCTTCTCTTCCCTCTTGCCCTCTCTTCTCTCTCTCCCCTCTCTCTCCTCCCTCTTGCCCTCTCTCTTCTCTCTCTCCCCCTCTCTCTCCTCCCTCTTGCCCTCTCTCTTCTCTCTCTCTCTCCTCTTGCCCTCTCTCTCTCTCTCTCTCTCTCTCCTCTCTCCCTCTCTCTCTCTCTCTCTCCCTCTCTCTCTCTCTCTCTCTCTCTCTCTCCCTCTCCTCTCTTCCCTCTTTCCTGCTCTCTTCCCTCTCTTCAGTCTCTCCCCTTCTCTCTTTTCTCTCCTCCTCTCTCGCTTCCCCCTTTATAATCTCTCCCCCTCTCTCTTTCCTCTCTTCAGTCTCTCCTGCCTCTCTCCTCCCCCTGTCTCTTCCCTCTGTCCCTCTCTCTCCCTCTCCTCCTCCTCCGTCTCTCTCCTTCTCTCTTCACTCTGTCAGACACGTTAGCAGGTTCCCCTCAGAGGTGAAGCGGTCAGCCTCAAACACATGGACCGAATTTACACGGCAACCTCCACCAATCCAGACACGCAAGAGATCTCAAATCAACTTGCCTTTAAGTATTATGCTAAATGAGGAGAGAGGGAGGAGAGACGGAGGAGAGGAAAGACGGAGGAGACGAGAGACGAGTTGTGAAATGCAGAAAGTTGCAGCGAGTTCTAAAATGGAATCCCTCTAACCTGCCAACAATTCCATCCAAAATACTTTAGGACTTTATGCAAATTTGCGCAAAAGGAAGATTTCGACATAGATTTACAAAATAACTAAATAAAGGCACGTTGTTATTTTTATTTGTGAAATTATAACTGTTGGGCAATTTAGACAAGTTTTGGCTCTTTTTTACATTATGTTTGCTAGGTAACAGACCTCTACCTATGTCATATCTGCTGAATGGGTGCAGCAAGGAAGTCTAATTATAATCTTCATAATATAACAAAAGCAGAAAAGACTAAACTTTTTTTTTTTTTTTAATCTTAAATATAATGTTGCTAACTATGTTTTAAACACAGTGTATGCACTTTAACCTTTACCAGCCTCTGTGAAGTTGGCCCCTCATCAAACTCAAACCTACATAAAAACTATGTCAATCGTTTTGTTTGTGTTATTATGGTTCTTAAGATATTAGCAGTTTTAATTTCGGCAGATGACGTCATCCAGTAACCAGGCTGGGGCCACCTAGTGCCTCCACTCATTTTCATTTCTCTCCAGCGACTAGGTCAGGAATCGGAATACACTAGACCAGAGGTGTCCAAACTTTTTTCATTAAGGGCCACATATCTAAACAGAGATGAAGCAGAGGGCCAATCGAGGGCCATAGACTGGCGCTCAATACAGTGAATAATTGAAATATGTGCATGTTTAACACATTAGAATGAGCCGTCAGTCTTTATTCATGCTAAGAT